TTCTTAACTGAACGTTATTGTATCCTGCTCTCAAAATAAACAGCTCTCATTTCCTTTTATTCGTTCGCATACATATGTAAACGATACCATAGGAATTGGCGATCCCACGCAGGCAGCGTCGATCGCGAGTGCGAGCGGCTCTTATCGTGACGCAACAAGGCCCGAGGCGATTCTAAAATTTCCCACGGCGTTCGCGCGCTTCGATTGTCTTATTCTTTTCTTATTTTTACGACGGTAGTGAGGGAGAGATACTCTCTCGGAACCGAGAGAAGCGTGGGTGGGCGGCTCAGCGGTCGGTCCCGATTTTAATCGCGGGGACCCGCCGGGGACCCACGACGATCGATCCGCCGCGGATGCAGAAAAAGCGCTCGTCCCGTCTCGGCGCGGCGCGGCGGTGAGAAACGCGTGGGCCGCGATAGAAGGACAAGGAGAATGGGTGACTGAAAACGAGCAAGGAGGCCGCCGTGCGTGCGTCGTGGTGCTCGACGTGTCTTAGCCCCGGTCCATGGTCGGTCACCTAGCACACCGTGTGCTGCTCTCGCCTTTTTCTGCCTTTCCTTTTAAGCAAGACGGAGGAAAGGAGAAAGAAACTGTTTGCATTCAAATATAAATATTGACCGCCTAGAGGAAACATTAGCGGAATTAATTAACTGGTGTCTCTTCGCATTTAGAAACCGTGTTTATTTACTTTTTAGATATGCGTTTCTCTCTTTTTCTTTCTTTTTCTGAATTTAAAAACTGTGCTTGTTTATTCTTCAGCTGCGAATACTGAACGCACATATCTATTTATATTCAAATTAGATTTAAGAGTAATAAAAAGTAAAATAAAAAAATTATCAATTACTTTTAATTTACAGCGATGTAATTATCAAAGTTCTGAAGCGCAAAATGTTCTATAAATGCTATATCTTGCGAGATAATGCCGCTTCTTTATCCTACAGCTTAACGTAGAGCTAACATGAAACCACTATCAGTATTCTCTGAGAAAAATGAGGTTTAATAATCTTAAAAGAGTCATTAAACTCACCTTACTCTTTATTAATAGAAAAAGAAAAAACAAAACAATGAATATTTTAATAACATTGTTAATATCAATAGATTATGAATGATACCTTGAAAAGTAAGACCATATACTAAATAGGAATAAACCAAGGATACCATTCGCTACTTTTTGAACACGCTCGAACGACGTACAAGTGCATAAAGGTCAAGTGCACGAAGGGTTAACCGCGCTCTTTAACACTTCAAATTACGTGCTTGCTATTTTAAGTGAAAGCAATGCGTGTGTCATGAGGCAAGATGATTTTTCCTCTATTAAAACGTTGTAAGAATATTCTCATTTTCTCGAGAACAACACATATCGTATATTTGCAAAACTCGTCAGGTTTCTTGATATCGTTCGAAAAAGAATTTAGAGTATCATAATTAAATTTCTACAGTTTAGTTTATAATTAATTTAAATTCGAAATACTAGAATATTAGAATAAATTTGTTGAAAATCAGACTAGACCATATGTTGAAATTAAGAGATCAATTAAAGGTAATTTTTATTTTCGCGATAAGTAAAAATCAGTTTTTTAGTTATGTATCGATTAATGAATTAAAATTATAATAAACGGCGCATCGTACGAGCCGCCGCCGGTCGTCATCTATTCGACCACCTGTTTGCTTCTACTGTCCTCGGCTCTCGGTTAGATCACGAGAGAATGTAAACGCGCCAAATCTTTCTCATCGTTTTATTATATTGTCCTTTCTTTTACAGTATATTAAGGACACACTACCTTTCGCTATCAAGATTATATTCGAAATCAATCTCTCGATTCTTGACTCATTAACCAATTTGCCAATTCAACCTCGAAATTTAGATAAAAAATTCAGAAATGACAAAATTCTGCGTTATCCTCAGAATATTAGTTTTGTCATTTCACATTCAATACGCGATTAAATCTATCCGTCGAGTTCATAAACGCAGTCTAATGGAATAGTGTACAATTGAAATTTATGGTATGCGCTCTCGCGTTGCAATGTGTATTCGTGTTCGCCCTCGTATTGCAATCCCGCGTATGTTTGCGTACATATCCTTATGCTACACATCGTCAAAAATGAAGCTTACAAACTATGTGTAACATTATGTCGGGTATCGCCGATAAGATCGTAACGCGGACAACGCGTGTAACATCGAGACGTTTCTCGAATTTCGTCCCGCATCGCGATGGACTTTTAACGAGTAAATGCAACGGGACTTACTTTGTTATTTGCTTTCGCACTCGGTCCTGACTTTATCTCTGGATCTCAGCACACCTCTCGCCGATGTGTCCAAGGAAACTAGGCTCTCTTTCTCTCTGCCAAGTTATCTCTTATACTCTTCTTCCTCCTTCCTTCACGGGCCGGACGAATTGCAGATTCTCGTCTTCCCTTCGCTCACTGTCACTCGATCCTACGATCTTACGATCCTACGAGCGATACGCGACTCCGACAAAAGACTGAACGGCGTGGACACTGGACCGACGAATGCGGAACTATTCGCTCGAGTCGTTGTACGCGATTATCGCTTGGTCTCGGTGGATCGAGATCGAACGCGCGCGTGTGTATATACGTTTGCGGAAAATCAGAGGATCGCGATCCTTCTCTACGATGCGGCAGCCGGCGACGCGTTTTATCAACGTGCGTTGCGCGGGTTGACAGCTTCTCTCTCTCCCTCTCTGTACACACAGTTGTCCGTATACGTGAACGTGCCGTGCGGCTCTCACGCGGTACGCGATACTGCGGCGCTATATAAAGGCGTGCGTGTATATAGTAGTAGTAGCGGCGGCGGCGGCGGCGGCGGCGGTGGCGGCGACGGCGGGCGAGAGATGCGTCGTCGTCCCTCACGGAGGCTCGAGCTAACATTAACTAGCGCGGACTGCAGCAGCTTACACTATGGCCCGGCCACGAACCAATGGGATCCCGCGACTCGCCTGGCCCCCCGGTTCCCCTACCGTCCTCTTCTCGGACCCCCCTGCAGCTCCGTACCGTCCTCCTCCTCCGCCACCGTTGCTGCTCCTTCGCTCTCTCGTTCCTGCGCGCACCCTTCCTCCCTTCGAGAGAGAGCCGAGACCCCCCGCGTGTTATTCCCGATTGTCGTTCCTCCTTCGCCCTCTCATCTGTTTTGCACGCGTACACGTACTTGTGTCTCTCTTTCTCTCCTGCCATTCGGACTCTCGTATACACACGCGCTTCTTCTCTCCCCTCGCTCTTTTTCTCGCCTTTCTTCTCTTTCGCGTGTATCCTTTCTCCTCTCCCTATCACTGCGTATCACCGCGTCCTCGTTGATTCTATTGGCTTTCATTCTTTCTTTTCCACGGAGCCGCTTAGCGTTCCGCACAGACAGTGACAGAGAGAAACGACGGCGAGGAGATCGAGAGGGACGGAACAGGAGTGAGAGGGAACGAGAGGGACCGAATCGCGGCGGCTCTCAACATGGGTCGGGGACCGGGAACTCCCGGAACGAGCGCGGGCCTCCGCACGCCGCAGCGCGCTAGAGAACGCGGTTACGCGAGCGCAGATAGTAAACTGTAGCTGTAGTAACGAGAGAGTAGAGTGGACAAGTAGATGAGAGCGTGCCTTGGAAGCGCGATTATTTTCTTCCGGATCATAAATTCGACAATCTTTCTACCTTCCGACGTTTCTAGAATTGATATATCCGTCGCTAACATTATCAATGTTATCATACACAATGTTTCATTTTTCACGCGAGTTTCTCTTGTGTCAAGATGCAATCTCAAAAAATATAAGCGAAATATAGCAAAATATTAATTGCACACGCTGAAATGTTAATTGCCACATTTTCTAATATGAAATATGACAACTTAAACTCAGCGCAAAAATATTGCAAAAATTCTGCCAATCGATGTTTAAAACTGAGAATTAAAGTAATTTTGTTGTGCAACATAATTAATAACTTGTTATAAGAACAAATGCTGTTTCGTTGAAATTAATTGTATGTGTCAAGGCCAACAATGCTGTAAAAAATTCCGGATATGACTGTTTATATGTGATTATTCACGATTCACAAAATAAATTGTGAAGAATGTTGCTTGTCATGGTCTCTTATCATCGTGATCTACATGACTCACGTATGTAAGATGCATTCAATTTTGTCGATAAGCTGTGCAACATTCATCACGTAAATCCCGCACTAATTTAGAATTTCTTGTACAACTTCTTGCAAAATTTGTGAAACTTTATTCTATATTTTTAAGAAACTTCAATTTATTGATCGTTTTTGATATTTTCGAAGTATATAATTTCGAATACAAAAAATAGCATGCGATACATTCCATTTTCTTCTGTAATTTTTTTAACTTTATTATACGAAAGTATATTATTTATCTCTCAAGTTTATCTCGATGACTGATTGTGACTGTTACAAATAAGCGATTAAAAAACGATGAAATATATATTAATGTGTACATTTAAATAATCAGTCTGTGGATCGTATCTGTGATTGTAATAAAAATCGCACTACAATTCAACATTGAAGAAATTTTATTATGCAACAGCGTAATACTCCGATCATATCGTGTGAAGAATGACTTTCGCGGAAAAATAATTCGCGATAAACTTACAAACGTAGTGTAACATAACGCGGAAAATGTGGAAATTTCTCCACCGGAAAGTTGAACCTACCCGATAAAATGAAAAAAAAGTCAATCTGGAAAGAAATAATTCGATTTTTAACATAAAAATTTATCATCAATCACTATTTAATATTTTTTGCGTCGAATTTACATTTAATAATCTTTTATCGTAGATGCTACACAAGCTGTGAAGATGCTGCCTTATTGTTTTTTTTATTTATCTTTTGATCACGTCATAATTTAACATAATTTGACGATAATAATAAGAAAATATATTGATTCTGCAAAACAGAAAAACCATCTAAAAATACATTACTAAGAAAATAAGAAATATTTTTTTCATAGATTGTTTTAAATGAGAATTTTATATTTTATTTGCAGAAAGAGAAAGAGAGATCATTCGCAGTGGATCCACGCTTTACTCGGATTTCCCAGAGATTTCGGTAAGTCCTTTTTTAATTATTGCATAATCATTTTATCGACATTGTTACTTTGACGTATTACGTATTTCAATATGATAACTGATTCCTTAATCACACAAGTGTCGCAACGACCAATTGAGATATAAATAAACGCGTTACTATATTACAAGTCCATGAATTTATCAATTTAATCGTCTGCCATTTAAGCGTTTGAATTTGTAGATTTCTTCCGCCAATTTAGGACGCACGTGGCATACTTGCTCGCACTGTAGGTTCATTTTTTTTATTTTTTGTAATACTCAGTTTTTAGAAAAAATTGTTAGAAAACGTGAAAATATTAAAGTACATTATTTAAATACTACCATATTTTTTTACGTCTAAAGTTTTATAAAATTACTTGTAATAGAATTTTATATTTCTGAAACCTATTTTATAAATTTTAAACCACAATTTGGCAATTTTCAAGTAACCCAAATTCAGATCCTAATTTTATATATATAGTCACACTCAATGTTATACTTTCACTCTCGCGATATCTGACGCAACTTTAGCGCCAGGTAAAAATTCAACGCAGGCGAATAGTAGAAAGGCAGCTGTCTGCGATCGTATTTCTGCGAAGCGTAAACGAAAAATTTAGGCGACCGTGAGATTTGGAACCGCTACGCTTCGTGCAAACTCACTCAGCGGTTGCATCAACCAAGCTGTGTGACGCTGCTTGTGCGGATACACGTGCCATAGCTGTAGCCTTATTAAGAATGTCATGCACAGCGACACTATGTCCGCCATTTTTTTCTGCTCCCCTCCACCCAGCCTAAGGCGAGAAAAAAATTCCAAAGACGAGAAGAATCCTATCCTTTTGCGTGTTCGTCTAATTAAGACATTGCATCTACTATAATCATTTCTGTAATCAACTCGTATCGTCTTTGCGATTGTCTCGCAACGGGACACAACCCGTAAATAAACCATCAATCATTGGTGAATACAAGTTAATAATCATGCTAATGTGTAAAAAGACATTAGTATTCATGGCAAATTATCAACGATTATACGCATTACGTAAACACGGTTGTGTAACGAAGTTGATTATTCTTACGTATCCAATTCCTAATTGGCGCATAGAAAGGTAGGATAAGCTGATACGGGGGCAATTAACGAATTTACATCTGCGAAAATAAGAAAACTAAATTTTAAACGACACTATTTTAGTAATGCAGCGCAATCTTATTTTTTGTTGTTGGAAAATCAAATGTGCAGTTTACACGTTCGATATGCGCATACCAGCGCATAATATCAGGTGCATCTTGATTTATGTATTGCCGCGCATAATATCCAGGTATTTCTGGTCCGCTTAGAGGCGTGCCCGAGATACCGCTAATAGAGATAAATCTATATAGATATAAAGGATAAGATATTTATGAAAGAGATATATGTACGATCTATATACATATGATAAATAAGAAATAAATATATTATGGCTTAAGGTCGATAACTCGCGACGACAAGTGCGTGTTGCGGAAAGAACGTAATAAAAGTATTCACGAGCGTAGAACTGAAAGGGAAAATGACGTGCGAGAACGAGTTTTCGGACCGAACTATAAAAAGACAGCCGACGGCGGTTCGCAACGAGCAAGTTTTATGCTACGAGCGGAACGGTAGATAGGGCGATAAGGGAATCGAATGTTTCTCTTATGAAAGACATTCAGGTCTGGCCCGGAATCCGCCCCGTGACCGGAATACTTGAAACAAATGCGCAGCACTTTTCTATCTGACACTATGCCAGATCTTTCAACAGATCTGAACTCGAATTTAGAGCAAGAGTTTGATTGAATTTCAATTTTACTTACTAACAGCAATTTAAAGAGAATTGCAAACATATTTAACGATGAAAATTAAAATGTTGAATTTAATTGTAAATGCAAACAAGAATTTCATTTCTATTATCAATATATTCTTGAAAACAGGAATTGTGATTATTATTTTTTTTAATGATTAATGTTCTAAAAAAAATGATTTGCTTATTTACATGACTGCACATTGATTGCAGCGGCTTGCACAGCTTCGTTATGCACCCAAGTGCGTAATGCAGATCGTGTGACTCGAACTCGGCTGAGCACTTTCCCGACCGGGTTTTGCGTCGGCCGCTTTCGCGATTGTCTTAACGAGGCGTTCATAAGCGCGCCGCAAACGGATTCGCGCTTCGTGGAATTAATATTGTAGATTCTTAAGGGCTTTTCCCTTTTTCGGTTGATTGATACTCCGACCATTTAATCGTCATAGCTAATTTAAATAATTTTATCGGAATTTTCTCAAGCAAATCTCAAAATATATTACATGAAAGAAAAACTTGTTGCTTTTTAAATGTATCTTTGTCAGAAATTTTATATTTTAAAAGTAAATTTTATAATGAAATTTTAAAAGTAAATTAAATAATGAAATAATTATTTGATTTTTATCAAAGAGGATTTTATTTGTTGTTGTTTTAATATGATAAATGAAAATATTTTCTTTATACAATATTTCTCTTGGAAAAACACAGAAGAGTTTACTTGGATGACGGATACATCATAGATAGCATTCAATCGTGCGATTCCTGTTATTAATACCAATTAAAAAGTAATGAATGACGTTTACGTGAAATCAGATACGCGACGCGTACGCTCAGCATTTCTGGAAAAACATCTGTCCGCGCGAGATTCACCAGCGTCGATCTGCCGATAGACGATCCCCTGCTGACGCGCCAATAGCATTGTACAATCAATTACGCGTGACGATTCATTGCCGTTTTTTTTTTCAGAAACACACTGACGTTTTTCCGCGGTCTTAATTTTTCGCGTGTCGTACAATAAGACGTTGCATAACGTCGCGTTCGACGTCGAGGGACGTTTGCACGGGTGATTCATTTAACTAAACTGCTGCGTAATGTCGAGCAATCAATTAAGTACAATTATGTTATACATGGCAAGTGTAGCGGCCAATATTTCCATTTTATAAAAATTACGAACGACAACATAGTGAAAAATAAATTTCCAGAGACGTAATTTAAAGAGTGACGAACAACTTCGCCTCGGTAAGTTTATTTGGCTTACACTTTTTATGTGTGGTCGAGATTAGGATCTCTAAAACGTTCTGGGGCAAAAAATCTGTGAGAGAAAAACACATTTAGTCACGAAAACAACTTAGGTAGCAATCAAATAATTCTAATTATTTGAATCTGCGTATCAAAGTAAAGCTGGAGATTAATTTGTTTGACTTATTTGATAAAAAAATATTAGTAATATTATAAAAAATATTTATGATTTTTTAAACGTATTTTTATCAATGATGATTGATTTGGAATCACACGTACGCGAGTACGATTTATCGATTCTTATATATTATAGATAAATAAAGAAAACAATAAGAAATTTTTTTTGGAAGTGCGAGTGAAGTTGCGTTTTGGTGTCATGAGATAAATATGCTATGAGTCGCCGTGGAATGCAGCGAGGTCGCGAAAAAGGAAAAAGCTTGCAACGTGTCTCGCGCGTCTCGTAAGAGACGTTTGCGTGAGTGATAAATTATGCCGATGTGTCTTCGGTCATTTGTTGACTTTTTGCCGGCAGTCGTTTCTCTGATCATTTGCATTTCTAATTAAAGAAAAACGAGTGCTGACAAAAAATTGACAAATAATCGGAAATGTCATATTGATATCGTACATATTAATTGTATTCATCATTCAAGTACGAAATCAACAACACGAAAGCCATAAACTTGTTTTAAAAATGGTCGATTTGAAAGCCGACGCTATTGTTTTTACTTTTAAATGACGAATATTCGAAAAGCGTAGAGGGATGTCTTCCTGTATTAACAGGACACCCTGTATTAATCTATGAACGCGGAACCTAACCGATTGATGTATCAACGCGTTGATTGCCTCATCCTCGCTCGGCCTTGCGACGAAAAAAGCTACGGATAACTGTATTTCAAGTTTCCTGCGATTTCTCGGTGCTCGAAGATACCGCTACAGCACACCGTGCAAATCCTGATTAGTTAAACCGAGGGGAAATATAGAATATTTTAAAATTATTCGATAATCCAATCCAGCGTTATATCTTGCAGCTGCTAATTTAGGTAACAGTTTAATTGAATAATTAACAGTTCAGGCTGCCATTTGCATAATGCCTTGAAATTGACTAATGGAAATTGCTATAAAATAAGTTACTCGCAAGTGCAGCACATGCATCAACCGTGCTATAAAAATTTAAATATAAGGGAAAAGAGAAAAAGGAAGAAAACTACAATTAATTAAAATTTTTAAAAAAATTAGAAAACGTATCGTTAACGTAATTAGCGACGAATAAATTTTGTAAGTGATTCTCGTTATCTTTGGGTGGTCGATCGATAATCACGATATCACGGGCAAATTAAAAATTGTTTTTTACAAAAATAACATATGCAAACTTGTGGAACGCAATCGTCGCGACATGAATAATTTTGTCATCGCGATCGGTTCGGTTGAGTCGCTGCTGATTTATTATACCGACAATGCCGCGCGGCAAATCGATCGTGGGTGCGAGAGATCCAATTTTATTCCGACTTCCTTCTCCGCCAGGTACACACTGTCAATAATGGCAATAAAGAAGGAATACCGTGACTGCGCGACTACCTTCGTTCTGCGAGGCCTTCTGCAGCGCGTTAACCCGAGCTTGTAGGGTTTATTCTGGCGGCAAGGTTGAGAATCGATCAAATATAAAAATTAAGTATCAGGATTGAGAAATAAGATCACTTTGTGTATCACACAAAGAACCATAGGAACTAAATGTGAAAAATAGAAATATTAAACCTAACATTAATAATATTAATATTTCGAAAAAGTATTTTTTTAAACTTGACTTGAGCCGACAAAATTTATGATAAAATTAAGGATCGATAGAAATACAAGAATAGAATGTGAAAAGGTAAGAAATGAAATATTATAAGAAGACTTGATGTATCAAATGCTTTTTTAAAAATAATATTAAATTATCTCTCTTTACATTTTAAATTTTAAATCGTCATAAATAGCATTTGCAATTTCTTCCTTTTCATTCTCGCGTTGCGTTGACAGCGTGCTTTACGTCAAGTCTTCGTATTTTCTATGATCGCGACTATTTGTCGACGGCGATCGGAGTCAAAATCGTTGTATGCTCACCTTGCTTGAGATCATAAGTAGTTATCGGCGAACGAGAGCGGTGAGAGGCTCGCGCGATTGCGGCAAAAGAGCGCCGTCGGCCCGCCGAAGAGTTGCACGCGCGAGGAGAAAGATTCCTGTCAAGTTCCAACTCAGATTCTCACGTGTCTCCCCGCACGCCCTTCTTTCACTTTTCCCCGATATTATTTACCCCCCTCACCCGGCCCACCGCCGTTCTCACTCACGAGACACTCTCGGGATGCTCTTGGTACGTAGAGGTCGTGAACTTGGGGCCTGGGGGGGTTCGTCGATGCAAACACTTTTTCACTCTCCGCGCTCTTCGTTCTTTCGAGTCTTACGGCGATCTTGACCAGTCGGCGGATGTCATTGTTTCGTTAGGGAAAAAGTCACGTGACGCGAAGATTTCTGTCAAGGTTCTCGCTTTTCAGTTTTCTACTCACGATGCTATTTCTCGAATTATTTTCCAACGGAGAAAATTGCGCGATCGACCTTCTGTTCAGCATAACGCGCCGATACTCATTGCTTTCCATGTTTCCCGGTGCTATTTTCATCTGCCTCGGAGTCTGGTGCGTTTAGTTTACTCACGATTAGAATCGATTGTCGCATCAAAAACTTTCTCATTCAATTCAAGTTGTGCAGAGAATGACGAAGCCACAGCATCGACCAGCAATGTTTTTTTTCCTCAATGGAAAAGAAAATTTGCTGTATTTTTCAGACGCGTATTACGAATCCGATCTTTCGCCGGTAATTTGTCGAGTCGTTCGCATAGGAAGAACCTTCGTATCAGGGATCGTGTGCACAGGGTCCGGTCTCTGATGGATTATAATGTCCGTATCCGTGCCAGTCGGCGGTCGGTCGGGCTGATTTTCTCACGCCCACGAAGCGCGCCCGTAGTCGCGCGAACAACCAGATCACGTAGCACGGAAGAACTCGACCCGCCGAAAATTAAGGACCACCAGCAATCGTACTTAATAATATCTCGTTCGTTCCGCAATATTCCTAAGTTGTTCACGCAAACTTCCAGCTGAGTTTATTCGAAAATTTATGAAATTATGAAAATTCCAAAGAATCGGTTCCGCTCGGCGAAGATCGTCATGCGATTTTTGCGAATATACATGTGATTACGCAACTGACTTCCGGTCTTTTCGCGAGTCACTCTTTCTCTCCGTCTTTTTGCCTCGCAACATACATTTCCAAAGAGTTGAACGTCTCGTTAATCTCTCCGAAATATATTACCGATACGAGAATTCTCGAGTATCTCAAGAATCTGTAGCTTTTTCTTCTCAAAAGTGTTTTTGCGTGACGGAATTCCCAAATGTAATAACTTCCGCCAATTCCGCGAGCTCCGATCACACGGAATGCTCCGTTAACGGCACGCAGCGTGTCGTACACGTGGACTGCTTTCGAGAGTCTCGAATATCTAGGAAGGCCTCGGTCGCTCTGACGTCGCGTAAGAATTCCAAAGCACGTGATTCGACGACCAACGACGTGGGAGACACGCAGGTCTAATTTCTGGCGATCGCGAAAGAGCAGTCGGCGCCGAACAGGAGACTCGGCGACCGCGACGAGCACTGACGGTCTTATCCGTCGTCACGTAGGGGTTCTGCATCGAAGAGCATAATACGGGGCTTAGATCGCAGATTCTCCTCCTCTCGTGTGACGTGCCCCCGTAGGTACGGGCACTTAACACAGTTAAACCGGGCGACCCTCCCGCTGCATGCGTGCCAGGCGACGTGACAGGCGACGTTACGCGCTCGCTTCGCAAGCCCAGCTTCCGCGAATAGCTTTTGCGACGGCCGACCCGGGCTTGTTTGTGCTGATGCAAAATCACGGGAAGGAATCGGAGAAGCGTATCATGTTGACGGCAATGGTATTTCGGGAGAGGTTTATTTGCTTGGTCGTGCAGAGTGAGAGAAAGAGAGCCTCGAAAAGATAGAATTTCGACGTTAGTTGAATGTGCGACAATGTAAACACGGGAGATGTTCTTTCGCGTGTGCGATGAATGGAATCGACACTGATGAATGACTACTAGATTTACGCTTATCTCTGTGGTCGTACTAAGTGATAAGATTCTATTTTTATTTACAAGAGCATGATATTATTTTTGAAACATTGAATAATTAGAAGCAATTATTTCCCGAAGATACTTCTCGTTAGATATCACTTTTTACGTAATTAAATAATTTCAAATAGTTTCTTTTAACTTTACATATTATATTAAAAAACTAAACTAAAATAAGAATTTACACATTTTATGTCAATCAATGTAGAACATAACAATCAACATTTTCGACGAAGAAAAATCTATCGCGACGTCCGTAAGAAAAATTTCACCTCGCCGTTCAGTTTCTGCGACTTGCGACATGCTTTGCATATTTTTTTCGTAAAAGAGATCGCAAATCGTCGTGCAAACGTCATGCACGCAGGTTGATCGGGGAATTTCGAAGTAATCGAAATTTTTTGAAGAGAGTGACCGTTCGTTGTTACAGCGAGCGGCCGCTGTACAATCGTACTGTCATACGAATAATACTCGTGTGTACATTACAGACGATGATCTCGCAAGTCGGAAGACGGGCGCGCGCGCGCGCTCGCGCGATAGAGAGACGGACAGGCGGCGAGAATCAAGCACGGGATACAAGCAATTCATTCATCAATGGTTTATCCCGAAGGGAATACTTGCGCGCTCGATTCAGCGTGCTTCTAGGAAACAGGAAGATGCATCAGCCAGATGCCTTTCCTCTTCGACGAGCTCTTCTGGGTTAAGCATTTCTGCAAGAGCGTATTTCTCGCATTCGATTACTCTAAGATTATTCCACGACTCGTAACGTGCGAGTTTTCACTGAACGATCGATCAATATATTTAATAGACATTTGAGTAGTTTCGTAGCTGAGTAAAATTCGTTTGATATTTCGCTTCGCATTTCGCAATAATGATGATGAATGCTTAAAGAAGGCCACAGACGTAAAAGGAATAATTTCGTGAAAGACAGAAAGGGTTTGAGAGAGGAAGAAATCGAGAGAAAGAGAAATTTTTTACAATCTGTCCTTAGTCGTTAGATCGTTACTTTTTCGTCCGCGTTGCAAAATCTCGTGAATACACTTTCAGCGTCGTCCACGACGGCGGTCTCTTCCTCCAGGCTACGCTTTTGCCGAGGGAAGGCGGACACGACGCGCTCTCGCGCGACCGGAGTGGACACGTATGTACATACGAGGGCAGAGACGTCGAAGGTGGCGGCGGAGAAGGAGAGCGAGAGAGAGAATTTCCTTTGCAGCCTATGCGGCGGCGGGTAGGACGCTATAAATAACTCGGCAGCCTCCCTGAGAACGGAAAGTAGCTCGCCTTCGAGTTCCGTAACGAATTCCCGGGATTGCTTTCTGGATCAGTGGCCGCGCGCGAGCGGCGCGGCTCTGAGCCGCCGATTAATGAATCGCCGGAGACAAGCCTAAATCGGGAATTGTATTGGCTTCCGATGGATTAAGCATCGTCGCGATAAGGCAGGTCGAGCGCCGCGTAAAATTGCGTTCCGAAAATTGCATCGGAAAGTATTATCGGAAATATACGTAGTACATGGATAATGTGCTAACACTTTGGCTGTCACGTTGCGTGTACATAGATAACGCCTGTACATCCTTGAGAATTATGGCACGTGGAAGTTAGAGTGATAACTTTATCTTCCGTTTAATTCGCATTCGGCAGTTGACATGATTAATGGAAGTTAAACGAAAAATAAAACTTTTTATCTTGTTTTTAATGCCGCGATTTTTAAGGAAATGCAAATATAATTTATTGTAACAGCTGAAGTATTAATGCAAAATCGAATTTTTTAAAATAAAACCGTTAAGTCAACGGAAAAAATACTTGAATTTATTCGTCTGATTAAGATAAATATTTATTTTTCTATTTTCATCATACATTGTACATTCAAATACTTAGTCAGATTAATATTAATACCGCATTGATAATGTAACGTAAATGTGAAATCGTGTTCAATTTATGCTACCATTAAATGCGTGGTTGTTATTCGCGATTATAAGAGTAGATATGACAATATTTACAGTTATTTACGTGAATCTTGTTCTATCAATAGAAATGTCGAAAGTTTCGTTGTAAGCGAACACCTGCGCGTGGGAGCGTGCCTCGGAATTATCTTTCCACCGAGATCAGCAGTACTCGGAAGAGAATTATCTGCCCGGTGTAATTCAAAGACAGTGAGAGAGTTTGAGCCGCTCGTCCGAGAGCTCGCTTGCCCGCTCGCGGAGCAGAGCAAGCGGCGATGAGCGCGGCGGCGAAAGGGAATCGTCCATCCGTATGTCTGTCGATGTCGAAACCGCGCCGCAACATTACGTCGATTCGATAACGCTCGCGGCTCGTGGATTCGATTTATATGAAATCGAGTTTAGCAAGTCAGAAGTGTTTTGTTTACTTTCGTATTTAAATGAGATCTCATGACTGTTACAAGAAATTATCGATTCGGAGACTATCTAGATCTTTCTTAAAATAAACCAGCAATCTATTAAAGCAATATATTTGGAAAATAATCTATCAATTATCTTGTTAAATTTATCTTTTTTTAAATTTATTTCATTATTTTAATTACAAAAATCTTTCTTCAAAATTTCTATAATCTTGCTCGATTGCTACACGCAATCATACTTTCTCTCCTTTTGCAGATTCCATTCTGACAATTATTATTATTACCGGATGACACGCGACATATACATTAATTTTTGATGTAACACAATGAAGCGTGTTATTACAACATCGAAATGCTTTCCTGCCGATAAGATCTTTGCAGAATTATCCAATGGCACTCGCGGAATAGCCGGTTCTTTTCGCGATCGAGAGCTATGCTCGTTTAACTTGGACGATACCACGTGTATTATATGCGCGTGTGTATAACTGATATGTTGCGCGCGGATAAATCGCCTCGTTGAATTGACCGAGTCTCCGTGAGCTATCGCTCTGCCTTCTGACCGACATCGTATAATTGACGACGCATTTTCGAGCGATACGCCTCCGAGCCGATAAGCACGAATACGTCGATCATCGTTTGTTGCGAATCCTATTCACACTATCGGGGACAGTATTTATAGCCGTTATTTCATAAATAGCAACAGTTTACGAATGGTGATTATTTTGTTGATTGTTTGTCCGTCGACATACTTATTTTGAGAAGCAAAATCTTTCCTATCGATGTTTCCTACAGCATTACTCTCTTATATTTGTCTTTTTTGATAAAGATTCGAGTTGCTAAGGCGGTAAGAAAGATCACAATGCCTTATTTTATTTCAAGTCAACTTTTAGACAAAGATTAACTGCGCCGTTATTTTTAATATAAAAAATTAAAGATATTTAATGTCAAAAAAGGCGAGAATTATAGACTGTAATAAATAATTTTTTTTGACTATTTTGTTAAGAGATTATTTATTTTCTGTGAAGAATTTATCACATAGGATTTTGACAGTAGTGATGAATCGAGAAGTATGTTAAAAGATTTGTTGAAATGCGTGCAAAGTCTCTTGCGCTTTTTTACCACACAAATTACAATCTCAGAGACAAAACTCGATCTCCTATTCATTAAGGCCGTTGTCAGCGGGTCAAGATCATGCAGAAATGACCGAGAACGGGCTTTTCGTGGCTATAAACTGAACACGACGAAATCAAGACCACGGTCCCGGCATTGCGTGCGTGCGATGCGACACGCACGTGTAACTGCAAGCCGACTCGACAATTATCGCGACTGAAATAGTAAGAGTACTCGAATGCGGCATGCGAAGTTTGTACTCGGATTACAAATACGCATTTAACTCGAAATGCAAAATAAACAATTGAACGTTCTTGACCTTTAACTGAATATAATAATGAGCTGAAAAATGTTTCGCAATTGAGTTTGGCAAGCGAGTAGATTATAACACGAAAAAATAATATCAAAAAGTGCAGATATATATTTCTAAAAACTTATAACTTAAGGTGATTCTAAAGTGGTCTGTTTTACCTATTTTTTTTAAATACACTTAATTTTTTTTGGCTGTGTAGAATAAAAAGTCCTTTTCTGTAAGTAAAGTACATATGCTAATACACTACGGATGGTCGATTTGAAAGGATTTTTCAAGCCACGCAGCCAAAAAAAAACGAATTTTACGAAAATCGAATTACAAACATCGAATTGCGCAAATTAAATAAGATATTCTACTATTGCAGTTGTGAAATGTTGTACTATTTGAAAATTTTTGCTAATGTTACGTAATATAACTGAAATTCTTTTATTACGACTCATTAAGTTTTGTCATTGAGGGAAATATTTGCGTTCCAATTTACGTTCCACTATCCGCGTTTAACGATTGACAGTAGTATGCTGCCCGTTCCACTCGACAAGATACGGACGTTTAGCTTGCGCGTTTCTGCCTACATTGAACTTCGCCGCTGCGTGCGACGAATCAAAACGCGCGTAAAGCGCGCTTGCTTTCGCAAGTGAGCGAAATGCCATATTATAGAGTGTAGATAAGTTAATGTGGT